GCTATTGCTTTCTCCATAACTTATACATGTTCCTATGACTATGAGATTATGCAACTCCCGAATACCGGAGGAACACTTGGTGTGCTATCAAACGTCACAACGTAACTGGGTGATTATAAAGATGCTCTACAGGTGTCTCCGATGGTGTTTGTTGAGTTGGCATAGATCGAGATTAGGATTTGTCACTCCGATTGTCGGAGAGGTATATCTAGGCCCTCTCGGTAATGCACATCACTATGAGCCTTGCAAGCAATGTGACTAATGAGTTAGTTAATGGATGATGCATTACGAAACGAGTAAAGAGACTTGTCAGTGACGATATTGAACTAGGTATGATGATACCAACGATCGAATCTCGAGCAAGTAACATACCAATGACAAAGGGAACAACGTATGTTGTTATGCGGTTTAACCGATAAAGATCTTCGTAGAATATGTAGGAACCAATATGAGCATCCAGGTTCCGCTATTGGTTATTGACCGGAGATGAGTCTCGGCCATGTCTACATAGTTCTCGAACCCGTAGGGTCCGCACGCTTAACGTTCAATGATGATATGTATTGTGAGTTATGTGATTTGATGTACCAAAGGTTGTTCAGAGTCCCGGATGTGATCACGGACATGACGAGGAGTCTCGAAATGGTCGAGACATAAAGATTGATATATTGGAAGGTTGTGTTTGGACACCGGAAAGGTTTCGGATAGGTTCGGGCATTTTCCGGCGTACCGGGAGGTTACCGGAACCCCCCGTAGGGTTAATGGGCCTTCATGGGCTTTAGTGGAAGAGAGGAGGAGGCGGCCAAGTGGAGGGGCGCGCCCCCCAAGCCCAATCCGAATTGAGGAGGGGGTCGCCCCCCCTTTCCTTCTCTCCTTCTTCCTCTTTGCTTCCCCTCCTAGTTGGACTAGGAAAGGGGGGGGGGGCTACTCCTAGTAGGAGTAGGATCCCCCCCCTCCCTTGGGGCGCACCCTTGAGGCCGGCCGACCCCCTCCTCCACTCCTTTATATACGGGGAAGGGGGCACCCCATAGACACACAAGTTGATTTCTTAGCCGTGTGCGGTGCCCCCCTCCACAGATTTCCACCTCGATCATATTGTCGTAATGCTTAGGCAAAGCCCTGCATCGGTAACTTCATCACCGTTAACACGCCTCATGCTGACGAAACTCTCCCTCGGCCTCAGCTAGATCTAGATTTCGAGGGACGTCACGGAGCTGAACGTGTGCAGATCGCGGAGGTGTCGTGCGTTCGGTACTTGATGGTTGGATCACGAAGACATACGACTACATCAACCGTGTTACTCAACGCTTCTGCTTTCGGTCTACGAGGGTACGTAGACATACTCTCCCCTCTCGTTGCTATGCATCTCCTAGATAGATCTTGCGTGATTGTAGGAAATTTTTTGAAATGCTGCGTTCCCAACACTTCTGTCGTACAAAGAAACAATGACTAGGAGTAATTGTGCCAGCCAATTATTTTTTTACAGCTTATTTTAAAAAACATAGTATGAATTAAAAAAATAACACGATGCATGGGCGAGGCAACGTAAAAAAGCGTAGGTGAATAGTGAAGTTGAGTACATAGCTAGACAGTAGTAAATGCAGCTTTTAATAGACTAGCAAGGTAGGTTCAAATAGTGCATTCGATTTTATTATTTCATTGCAAATTGAAATTGGCATGAATTTTCCTTCACTTCAATGGACACCGGCCTACTAGTAAAGCTACGTATGTAGAGCAGAGGTGTTCCCAGGGTCGTAGCTCTTTGGTTAAGACAAGAGGTTGAGCTCATATGCTTGAGAAGATCGGATCCAATGCAAACATTCCAGCGATGGGGCAAGAAGGTTAGCCGGAATAATTTAATCTAAACTATTTGGCAGTTGTTAATGTTTGGTTCAACTGCTTAGTTTGTTTCCGTTTTGATGCATTGATTTGGGTTTTTCTTTTGTTCTGATAGCACAACAATGGCGAGTCGTTCTACTATAGCAAACATCTCGAGGGTGGTTGGGGACTAGGAGATGTCTCCTTGATGGGTGCTCATAGACGTAGTTTAGTTCACGCGAAGATATAATGAATGACTCGGAACAGGTACCAACTGTTGCTTCATATGCCACCGGCCGTGTATTCACACCCAACAATCATTTACACCAAAGTGGCACTGATCCCAATAGAGCAGTGGGGCGGCCGAGATTTTGGAGGTGTGGGTCGCCGAGTGCTCCTAGTCCATGGAGGGAGTATATCACATCTAGATGAGCCCTACACACACCCTACTAAAATATAAACTATAATATATCACAAAAATTATACTCATTTTTTAGATATAAATGCACTAGTATATACATTTTGTAGCATAATATAAATCGTATTTTGTTAGTTGTATCGATGGCTAAAGTTTGATCCGAAATATGGAGGGGGCTGATAAACCTGGACGAAGAAAAGACTACACAATGGTTTATATAGAGAGCGAAAGAGGGGGAGGAGACATGTGTATTTTCAAGAGATGCATAAATAAACTTCTAAAATAGAAGTGGGAGTATCATTCACGAGGTCTATAATGAAATCTTCACCAGATGATTTTGCAGTCCTTTGTCCATTGTTCTTTCTAAGAACTTTATTGGCACCATTCTCAGGAATCTCAATGTGTTTTCGCTTAGATTTTTCCAATGGAACAAAATGTTAAGGATTTATCTATATGATATTTGAATAAATGAGCTAGACATATCTTTCATGGGATAATATCCTCAAATAAGGTCACATCATTCAACTCCATGATTGTACCAACACTCATGTCAGGTACCTCAGATTTCACCATTGGAAATTTATAACCGATGATATGAAAAGCATAGCCAAGAAAGACAATCAATGGTTTTTGGTCCAAGCTTACGCTTCTTGAGAATGGGCATATTGACTTTTGTTGAACAACCTCAAATTCGTAAACAAGAGACTTTTAATCTTTTTCTTTCCTATTCCCAAAATGGAGTAATCCCTTTATTATTTATGAGAACTTTGTTTAGGACATGACTTGCAATCATCAAAGCCACGCCCCTCCGCCCCCACCGCCCCCTACATTACTTGGAAAATCTCATTTGATCTAACATGTAGTTAACCAATAACAACATGAGTGGCCTTGTCGTCATTCTCAAGCCGACGCATGTCAAACAGTTGTTGCAAGCTGAAGCCCGATGATCATCTGCATCGTAGACATGGCATACTCCTTTCTTCTTACCAGATCCTTTCTTCTTGAAGTTGTGGCTTTGTTCTTTCCTTCAAACTTCTTGTTGCCCACGAGTTTGTTCTTGTTCCTAAACTGTGAGTCTAGAATTATTCTTCTGTATCAAGCTGGCATTAGAATTTTCCTCATGGAAATGAGCATGTGTGTTTTTCACATCCGCCTTCTCTTTCACACAAAAAATATCAATAAGATTGACAATAGAAAATTCTTGTCTCTTGTGCAAGCAACAAAATTTCTTCACGAAAGAAGGAAGCTTGTCAATTTCAACAATAAACTTGTTCGATAACACACCATTGAAATGCTCAAATTCCTTGGTGAGTGATTGAATCTCATGAGTACTTCGGCCATCTTGTAGTCATCTTTTAGTCCCAAAATATAAAAATATTTTTGACACTGTGATAATAGTGTAGTGTTAAAAATGGACATTTTTTACACTATGATAATAGTCAAGATGGGAATGGGTCGACCCGGCCCTGGACTTGGACCCGGACCTGTGGCCCCAGGGTCTATATGTGAGGCCATGGGTCGGCCCGTTTTATCAAAAAAATATGGCCCCTTCGACCCATTGGGTACATGAGGCTGACCCAAGATCAAGATGAAAAATTCATGAATCCAGTGAACAATTCCGGAGACTGGGAAGGCCAATGGGATATCAAGCTGGGGTTGGCGAGGTCGACGGCGACCGGGACGGCGAGCCTCGACGGTGACCGAGACGAACAAGAGGCTGGTTGCTTCGCTTCTACATGTACTCCCTCCGTTCGGAATTATTTGTCTCGGATATGGATGTATCTAGAACTAAAATACATCTAGATACATCCATTTCTATGATAAGTAATTTCGAACGGAGGGAATATGTATCAGTTCACGTAATAATCAATCAACCTGTATATCTGCCTGCTTCTTACACATGAACGTCTCCAACCGAACGGATCCACTATACTTTGGTCAGCTTCGCATATCATAGATGTTCTTGTGTACATGATCTAATTTGTGTACACGGGCAGCCAGCAGCTATTATATACTCCCTCCGTTCCTTTATATAAGGTGTATTTGTTTTTTGATAAAATTCCAGAATGTAAGGTGCATTTCTTATAATTCCTCATAATTTCCTTGTTAGCCCTCCATAAAAAGGGAAAATATCTCTCTCTTGATTGCCTGTATCTCTGCTTGTAGTAAAAGAAGGAAAGTATCTCTCTGTCGATTGCACGCATCTCTTACGTTCCTGGATTAACTGATTTACTTGCCGTTAACCAACAAATTTGCAAAGGGTAATTTTGTCATAACATATCTATAATTCTCTGCCTTGGTCACCGTGCCGAAAATAATACACCTTACATAAAGGAATGGAGGGAGTAGTGTATAAAAAAAATAAAGTATATCAATTCGACTTGGTCGACCCATCTGACCCATCGGGTCGCACAGTGCCGGCTCCATTGACCCGAATATCATTTGAAGGCCGACCCACTTGGCCCATTGGCCTCGACTTTTTGGGTCGGGTCAATGACCCAGCGGGCCGACCCGGCCCATTCCCACTTGCAGGGCCGCGCCCCAGCCACTAGCAGGTGCTAATTCTATTCGTCAAATTGGTTTGTCTGAGTTTTTTTTAAGAAAACAAAACAATTCGGATGCAGAGTCAATTCCTTCATTGCAAAGGAAAAGGAAGCGAACCCTCCTTCCCCTTCCTATCGTGCACTCTTCTTCCTCCTTCCCCCCTCCCCAAATATCCACAGAGAAGGCAGGAGGACCAAACCCTAGCCGCCGCCGACCCGATCCCATGGCGCCGTCCCCGTCCCCGCCGCCGGCGGCGAGCGGAGCGCAGTACGCGCACCAGTTCCTCAACACCGCCCTCTCCCAGCGCGGGCCGTCGGCGCTCCCCTACGCGGAGGACGTCAAGTGGCTCATCCGCAACCACCTCGTGGCCCTCGCCGACGCCTTCCCCTCGCTCCACCCCAAGGCGGCCCTCTTCACCCACAACGACGGCCGCGCCGCGCACCTGCTCCAGGCCGACGGCACCGTCCCCATCCACCACGCCGGGGCCACCTACAACCTGCCCGCCGTCATCTGGCTGCCCGAGACCTACCCGCGCTCCCCGCCCCTCGTCTTCCTCTCCCCCACCCGCGACATGCTCATCAAGCCCCACCACCCGCTCGTCGACCGCTCCGGCCTCGTCGCCAACGCGCCCTACCTCCGCTCCTGGGTCTTCCCCTCCTCCAACCTCCTCGACCTCGTCAGATCCCTCTCCCACCTCTTCGGCCTCGACCCGCCGCTCTTCACCAGATCCGTCGCAGCCCCGTCTCCCACTCCTCCTCCCGCTCATCCTGCTCCTCCTCCCGCCGCCGCCGCCTCCCCCGCCATGCGCCCCGAGGCCGTCTACGCCCCTGTCCCTCGCCCATACAGGTTCCCGGCATCGCCCCAGCTCGCCGCGCGCCAGCCGCCCACAGAGGACCCAGCCGAGGTCTTCAAGCGCAACGCCATCTCCAAGCTCGTCGATACCGCCTATGCTGACGCTGCCGCTCTGCGCACCGCCCGCGAGGCCGAGGTCGACTCCCTCTTCGCTGTACAGGCCGAGCTGCGTGGCCGGGGGGAGGCGGTGAACGACGGGGTGCGCAGGATCACGGAGGAGAAGGAGACGCTCGAGCGTCGGCTTCAGGATGTGGTGATGGCCACTGACGTCATTGAGGCCTGGGTTGCCGAGAACCGCAAGGGGGCTGCCGATGGCACCACCGAGGTGGAGGGGGCCATCCAGCCAGCCGACGTGCTGTCCAGGCAGATGCTTGAGTGCACAGCTACTGATTTGGCGCTTGAGGACACCATCTACGCGCTTGACAAGGCTGTTCAGGAAGGATCGGTGCCATTCGATGGCTACCTTAGGAGCGTGCGCGCACTTGCACGGGAGCAGTTCTTCCAGCGTGTCCTCTGCACCAAGGTTAACAATGCGCAACAGCAGGCGCAGGTCGCTAGGATGGCGGCACGGGCACCACAGTACGCCTCCTAGCCAAGATGATGGATAGGTCAGTATACATGCTTTATGATCAATCAATTCCATCCATTGTAAGAGAGTGGCTCAGTGTAAAGTTGGTTCCCATTGTCGTCGATGTGTGTGCTTACTGAATATGAACAGACGGATGTGTCACAATAATAACTTTATTAGTTGGGGTGTTGTAAGTTCATGGTGATGTTTGTGTAGGGTTGTTGAACTCACAGTACATATCTCAGTTTTGAAATTTACACTCATTTCATTGATGTGTCTGTCTTGGTAAGTCTCTACACTACAGTATGAATGAAGCTTCCATGTTTGTTTAGATAGGCAAAAATACATTCAGAGCTTAGTGTGTTGCTGTACTAGGTACAGTTGTACTATCCTAATTGCAGTCCGGAGATTGAAATTCAGATATGAGAAGTATATGGACTCTTCAGTACTTTGGGAATGTTAGATATTTAGTTTTTTTTCCTTCTGTCATGGCACTGCTGTGAACTTATTGCACTCTTGATACTCGGAACTGGAATAGTTCTCCTAGCTGTGATATCCGGCTTTTATGTTTTGATAATTGTAAATGCATAACCATTTTTTGTCTGTTGCGCTGCCACTGAAGTTTGGTGGATGCTTTGGCTTGATGTTGGTGTTTTGAGGCTGTGTGTGATCTGAAGCCGACTGTTTCATTGCAATTCGTCTAGGCTTGGGGTTTATTTTCTGAAACAATGTTTCTTGAATTGCAGACCCTGAATTTGCTGAAGTAGATTATGTATGGTACTGAGCGTATTCAAAAGCTCTTTAAAAGCTTTTTGGGGTGTTTTTTTAAACTATAAACAGTAGGGTATCCTTTTGGGGTGTTATGTGGAAAAGCTATTTAAAAGCCTATTCCAATCTTACCACCCCGAAATTACCCTTTTATGAGATCCCATGCCATGATGGCAAATTGTAACAAAGAGATTTGTATGTCCATAGATGTGATCCCAACATCACAGGGTTCCAACTTCCAAGCACACCAATTTCTTGAGCTGCACTAATGTGCATGTGCATAAGTTGTCCTATCAATCTGACTATCCTACAGGGAGGAAGCAATGAATATAGAGACCAAACAGTGGCTTGAGAACTGAAGCACCCTCCGTAAACTCCCTCCGTAAAGAAATATAAGAGCGTTTAGATCTAAACGCTCTTTATTTCTTTACAGAGGGAGTACTATTAGCAGAGTTAGCTTGACAGCACGCCGCATACCTGTGTGAACTCTTGCTGTCTGACACCCTTATCAACCCAGCATCAGATTCAAGAATCTATGAGTTTAGGTACCACACTGACCTTGCACTGGCAACGAAATTAGTTGTCATCACCACGAGAATCTCTCACCACCCCAAAAATCTGAGAAAGAAGAGTGCTCACCTTCCAGATGTTAATTTATTTACTGCCAGGCCTGCTGTGTGGATTTTGTGCCCAGGAGATTCATATTATTAAAGAGTACCACATGTTATTAAAGGGTACCACAGTAGGCGATCTAACCCTGGTGTTCTTTGCAACACAAGAGTACTACAGCAAGTGTTCTTTTAACTTCGTTCATGCGCCTTTTCTTTCCACTCATTTTACAAGAGCTTTCTTAGAAGCAATTGAAATTTTGGATTTGATTACATAGCAACATGAAGCACATGTGCGGTGGTAAGCCGCACGGTCAAGACAGGGCTCGGTGGCGTGTTCGTCAATACTCCGAACTGCTGTGGCATCAACGGTTCCTGATATAATTCAGACTGTCATGTGCAGGCGATCAAGGATGCTTTCCTTGAGAAAAAGAATCATCTGTGCTATCTCATATGAGTGATCTTGCCCCCACAGTGTTCTGGATATACAGGTGAACATCATTCCTGTTTTTATTCTTTCAGTCATCGCACATGTGCAGTGCATCTTTCTGAATATCTATACACAAGTTTTTTGTCAGACTTTTAGTTGTGAAAGAATTAGGTATAACTACATTTTAGAAATATTGGAAGATGCTCGACCTTTTTGTCTTCAGTTTGATGGTACAGAGCGTGTTCTTTCTTTTGCCAAATGTGTGAGGGCGAACAGAAACTGCAACAGCCCACTTGGATATCAGGGTAGAAATGGTTGTGCAGATCAAAACTGCATGCAGGGATAAGGAATGATGTGCATAATCGTAAATCTGTATGATGGTAGGCTGCACTTTAGGACTGACATCTCCAGTTGTTTTCAGATCTGATTGATTTTCAAGTTTTTGTGCAATATATCAAACAAATGTGCATTTACTACTCTTGCAGTCAGAATTGAGTTGTCAGATTTAAGCCATCTTAAGTTGTCAGTAGAATATTGGTGTTTATAGGGTAAATGGCAGAATTGCTTCCTGCTCCATTGCAACTCTGGCCAACCTTAACCTGAACTTTGAAGTTTGAAGCTCCATACAACACCTATAGTTAGCTAAAGGCTTGATAGACTATGGGTCCGGGTCACTGAATTTCATTGTAGTCACAAGTTGAACTCTGCCATTAAGATATACTCCCTCCGTCCAGAAATACTTGTCGAAGAAATGCATAAAATGAATGTATCTAGAACTAAAATATGTCTAGATACATCCATTCCTACGACAAGTATTTCCGGACAGAGGGGGTATTTGAAAACAAGATTTGATATAATTATTTCCAAGCTTGATTAAAAGCATCAACATTCTTACAAGACTTCAGAAATACTCCCTCCATTCCAAAATAAGTGTCGTGCTTTTAGTTCAAAAACCATGACACTTATTTTCAAACGGAGGGAGAGTAGTAAATAAGACTCGCATCGCCAATTTATGTCAATTGTCATGGCATGGGGTCATGGTGCATGCTGATGTTCCACTCTCGGACAGAGAGTGCAAGCACAGTGTAACATCACAACATTTCACATGATTGAATTTCTAGAAGACCTTTGAAATGCACTTTTCAGTTTTGAGTTGGACATGATGGTGGAATCTGTTAATGTGGCGATTAAGTGTGTTCAGGAGCTGATAGAAAAAGCAAGACACTTATCAAACCAGCATGCATAATGCATTGGGTGTGTATTGTAGTTGTCTTGTTCAAGACGGACCCAGTGTTCAGGACGTTTTTACTTGTATGAACAGTGGTTTTATCGGTGCGTTCATTGGGGTTTACAAGAAGTCCCACTCAGCCAGGCCTGGACATTTGCTGTTCCAGACGTTTTACCAGAAAATATATTCCTTGGGCTTGGTACAATTGTGCTTGATCTGAGGCCAGCTCCACATCTGTTTAAATCTGTACCCATATCCTGACCTGAAGTATGTGCAGATACTGTTTTTTTTTAATTAATCCTGTACCCCAGCCCTAAGATTCTAATAATAATTGTCTCATTTGTCAATCAATTGCAAGCATATGGCTTCTCATGTGGTCATGTGGAGCTTTACATATTTAAGTTTAAATGGCACCGAGGCACAGCAATGCATGTGTTCTTCCTTTGTTTGAGAAAAAGCGTCTAATTTGATGAGGAAAAAAATAGCCTATTAAGAACAGAAACGGTTCAGTGCAATGTACTCTTCAGAAACAGAAACGGTGCATGTTTGATTTCACTTACCATTTTCCTTGGACCCTCGCATAGATTTTATGTTTGGAAAATAGCCTATTAAGATTAAACTATCATTGTTTCACCGCAGGGCTGCAACATTGTTCTTCTTGAAAAGTTCCAGACTAAACTGTACGTGTACTGGTAGGTTATTTATATGTTAAGCTGCATTTTCCTTAATACTATTACTCACAATGTTGCATATCTGCATTGCCAAACCTCTATATTCGATTAACAGATTTCCTGGTACGCCGGACTTTGGAATGCCGCATGATTAATTCCACATTGGAACGCTGAGCATGTGAACTTCAGCTTCTTAGTATTTTCTCAACCTGGTCATATATACTTTATACTACCTATGTTAGCAAACTCTCATTTTTGAATGGTTATTAGTGCTGCTCTACGGAAATAATAGGTTGGTGCTGCAATAGGCTTTCAGATTATGTCCTTATTTGTCTAATATATGCTAGAAAGAAGGAATTTTCTGAAGAATGCTTGAAATGCAGAGTTCAGCAAACAAATGACAATTATTTGTCCCCTTGGGAAGCTCTCACACAATCGGGCAACTCGATCTCTACGACGCCAAAAGAACATCATTTATTGAGGATCTGCGTCACACAGAGGATCGGACTCATAGGGTTACCCAGCCAAAAAACTCTGATGTAGTATGAGTATTGCTTCGTCAGTGTGGTAAGCAAAGATGAGAGTATTGGCTCATCAGTGTAGGATCTGTTTCTCTATAAACTTGGTCAAACATAGTAATTCTTGTCGACGAGGATTTCTAAAGGTCAAACATAGTAATCTTTGACCAAGTTTATCGAGAAAATCATTTATATCTACAATACCAAGCATATACAAACAGTACAAAAATATACCTTATGATGTATCTATTGATATACACACTTGGTATTCTAAAATTCTAATGAATCAATCTCAAAGGCCACCACAGCAGAACACAATTAAGTTGGCATCACTGCTATGTACTCCCTCTGTTCCATAATTCTTGTTGTGGTTTTAGTTAGATTATGGAACAGATGGAGTACAAGGTTCTGCTCTCTGTAGTGTTACAGTTTATACTGGAGGATTAGAGCTAATTAACTAACGGTGCCTCTCTGAAAGAAGGCTAGACACGGTGTTGTTGATGGTATATTTCTGTTTCCCTCTCCTCTCAGTTGCACTAATTTCAACCACACGGCCAACATACAGTTTCCTATTTAGCACTTGACGGTTGGGGAAGTACAACCACGATCTTTGTGAGCTCATACTGATATGATATGATATGAATATGATTCTTGCAGTACCAAACGATGCCATCTATACTTGTTATATTTCTAAACTGGCATGTTGACTTCAAGGATGGAAATCTTTCTGGCTAACCAAATTTGTCAGCTTTGCTAACCAAATTTGATAGCTATGCTGATAGGGGCAACATTTCATATACA